CCCGCAGCCGTTAACGGCCGCATAACGGTCGGTCGCGTGCGCCCCTCACAGGCGAGAGCGGGAAAGCGCGGGCGGGCGCCGTGGGGGAAGGGGCAGGACGGGTAGGGGCGAGGAGGGAAGGAGGCTCATCCTGGTCTTGGCGTGCAGAGAGGGCTGCCAGGTCGCAGCCCCCGGGGCTGCGGGGCGCAGGAGCTTCCCGCCGCAGCAGGCTCTAAATCCCGAAATGGCGGCGAGGGTGCTGCGGGCCGGCTCAGCCCGTATGTGGTGGTTGGTGGAGGTGCCCCATCAGTGGCGTGGAGATAAAGCAGTGTTAACTTTTGAGCTGTTAGTGTGCCGTGCCAGATTTGCTGGTTTTATATCTTTTCCCAAAGCTCATCTCCCCAAGCTAAGCATAAAATCCTGGTCTAAATCTGAATTGTTAACATGTTTAAAAGTTAGATGTGTGTTTTTGTTGTCGCTTTAACATGTAAGGAGCTGTTTGTGTCGACACTGTGACCTGTACTTTTGGAAGCCCACCAGCAACCCCTGCCAACTTTATGTTTTGAAGTCTCGCTGTTTTATTTTGATTGGATTAATCTTAAGTGTTATATGTAAGTGCTTCTTAGTTTAAGACTGTTTCGTTTGTTTCTAGATCTAAAAGCTACTCCGAAGAATACTGAACTAGAAAAATTAGTCATCTTCAAAGAAAAAAACAGATATGAACTAGCTGAGAGTTTGGCTGTGGCTATGGAGAACCAGATACTGCTTGACATAAGATCAGTTATAGATGGTGGACTCGTAACTGAAATATTTAGTCAAAACAGTCCAATTAGCTCTGAAAACTTTAATTTGGAAACCGCTTTAATTAATGATCCCCTTGAAGAGGGATTGGCGTCTGGTCAAGACAATCATTTATGCACCGTAGCCGTGGGGGAGACTTTGTTAGATCACTTTAAGTATCCTGTTGCCTTTGAAAATCCAAACACGCTAGCAAAAGTTGAAATATGTCCACATGCAAACAGCGGCTGTGACCATGAAGATCTTGAAAAATATAAGGAACTGAATTATCAAGAAGAAGCTGAACATTTGCATTCCCCTTACCTGGCTTCAAATGGTGTCCATTTTCTTTCTTCTGTAGTGATGCAGCATAAAAATTGCAGTGATGCCTCTTCAAGCATTTCCTCTCTAGAAGGAGCTGTCAGTCAGAATGTCAGAATGATTCCAGTAAGGTTAAACAAAACAGTTTTTAGCACTGTTTATTTGTGATTCAAGTGCAGGATGTCAGCATGTTACAATTCATGTGGGATCCATACCATATTTAAAGTTACGGTGTAATTTCATACCAGAACAAATTTAGTAGTAATACTGAATTAGATTTCTCAGTTATATTGCTAAAAATAGCATGCAGTGAACATATGTAAGAAAGTAATATACATACAACAATAAATTTAGTAACTATTGTTAACTCCTCATGAACAAAGTAGTTTGGTTGGAGGTTTTCTGTTGTTTATCAGATTTTTTTTTTTTTTTTTTTTTTTTTACTGTTTAAAAGTTCTTCTTTCTGTGTTGGATAAATTACCCTCTAGAAAGGTGTGTAGTATAAAACATTTGTGATCTGCCCAGGACTAAATGTGTGTCAGTGCTTCCTGCAGGCTGTTCCTATTTATGATGTTTCTGTGTGTTTGCATTTTTGCTTTTGTACTGCGGTAACTTCTCAGGGGTACCTGTCCTCTGAGCAGCTATCTTGAAATGACTGAACTTCCAGTTGACATTTGTTCCACATTAATAATTTGTTAAGGCTAAAAAAAAGCCCTAATCCAGTGAGTGGGCTCTGAGATAGCCCTGTGGTCCCCCTGGGAGAGTCTATGATGCTCCCAGCAGAAGCCAGACAGAACCTGGGGAAACCTTCCATTGAAGAAGCAAAAAGGCAAATAAACCTCAGCACCACCAAACCCACTGGATTTCCCAGCACTGCTTCATCTCAAGCTACTTGAAGTCTGCTGTGATGGTTATGTGGCTTAGCTTCCTTTCTGATTTGAGATGGCAGATTTGGTTTAAAAGCATCTCTGTTTGGAAAACTGTTTACACAGGTAATCTACATAACCAGGAGTCCTTTGATCACCTACACCTTCAATCTTTCGAGCCATTAATGAGATGCCAAAGGCTGGTGGAAGCTTCTAGAAAGGGAAGATGCAATTAAAGCATTGTATTTGGGTCAGGCTGAAGATGTTGAGAATTTGTTAGGCTTCACTTTCCTCTGCAAGGGACTGAAAGAGGAGACTTGGATAAAACCTGTGTCTTCATAGTTCATCACGTTGTGTCCACATGAATGCTGAGTTTGCCATTTCCTCAAGGTCTTAGCACAAACTTACAGTAAGATTGCGAGTGCTTTTCCTGAAACGGAGAAAGCTGATAGCCTGTTTATGTGCTGTTCACTTGCTCTTCTAAACTGTTACGTATATTGAGAAGCACACACAGATAGAGAGAAAATAGTCTATTTTGAACAATCTCAATTGTGATTTGGTACTACAGATTTGTTCATTTGTGTCTGTTCTGTCTTCTTTTCATAGCTTTTATATTTGAAAATAGAAATGTAGGTATTAATGCTATTATATTTTCTCCAAACCTTATCTACATAGTAAACAGAAAAAGGGGTCATTCAGCTTGCACAGTGATGTGGTATCACTGGGTAGGTTGCAACAGTTACATATCTAATACATCCTGCAATATAAATTCTAATTTTCAATGTTGCTGTAAAACAGTTTTTTGTTTGTTTGGCTTTTTAAAAGTCGGAACAATTATTGCATAGAACAGTTACAAATAAAATGTTTTTTTCCTCAGGTGTTCAGGTCATTAATACCTCAAGTTGCAGGTGAGAATAACTATATTTGCTATGATCAGTTCAAAGAAATCCATAACAGTTCTGTACAGCCACAAAACTCGCCAGATTGCTTAAATGGTAAGTGCCCAAAGTGGCTTATAGGTGTTTTTTTTTGAGGTGGGGGTGGGGTGTTTTCTGCTCCCATGCTTCTTTCCTATTCATTGATGGACTGGGGAGAAGATATTCTTCCCTGCAGCACAGTTTTATTTTCCTTTCATACTGAGGGATGAGGTTTTTATTTTGTTTTGAGGATTGACTGCAAAGGATGACATTTGGACAAGTTGCACTCATGCTGCTGCTGATGTGAAGTTCTTCAGTAGTTGTTAGTATGTTAGTATTCTGTTCGTGACTTTGTTAACCCTGCTCACAGCTGAACTGACTTCCAGATTTGGTCTTACAAGGTTTATCCTGGAGTCTGACAGGACCATGAAAAGTGAAGAGTCTATGTTCATATCTGCTGCTGATTTTATAATCTTTAAGTTGTTTGTATCAGTCACTGCTAAGTGAATTTTAGCAGAAAGGCAAATAAACCTTTGGAGAAGCATCAGACAGACACACATAGAAGCTTCTTTCCCAACAATCCTGAACTTAAGTTTCTTGTAAGAGAATAGTCATTTTTTTTCCATAAGAATGCAGTGCTGTAGTGGCACTAAAACTTTTTTTTTTTTTGTTCTTGTTGATACTATCAGGGGCTCCTAGTCTATAATACTGATCTCTTAGTAAGTAAAGTGTTCTTTATTTTACATAATAGACTCTGCTGCTGGTGACTGTGCCTTACCTCAGACAAGTGCTTCTCTCTACGATGAAATTGTAAGTATGCATGTAAGATTTTGTTGTTGTTATTGGAAGAATTTGTTGCTTATTTTTTATTTTAAAAAAGAAGAACTAAGTACCTAAAACAGTTTTTTTTTTTCCAAGTGCCAGCAGGCCAAAGGTTCTTTCTGACACAGGACTGTTTCAGAATCTAATCTTTTCATGGAAGAGCAAACAAAAAAATGCTGCTCCATAGATGTGATACAGTGCTACACAATACAGGAAGGGCAAATAGAATCTGGATTTTTCAGCTATTTCTGTTCCTACTGGCTCAAATCCAGTTGACTGCTCTCTGTCACTTTCATGTTCTGGCCAATTTCATGTTTAGACCAATTAAGGATAGGGCAGCTTGAAGAGATTTAGACAAAAATCATTCTGTTCAAGTATTATAAGAAGCTAACTGTTCCCAATATTACATTATTTACTTTGATATGCATGATTTATACAGTTAAAATTTATATTTATGTATTTGCATTGGAATTTAAAGTATCTTTTAAAGTATGCCTTTTAATATGTGAAGATATTTATTTTTTTCAGGCTGAAATAAGAGAGGCAGTTAGTAACGTTATGGAGAATGACCAAGATGAAGCTATTTTTCAGAATTCAAATGTAGGCGAGTCTGGCTGCAAGTTATTAGCATTACACAGTGTCCTGGAAGAACCCAACTGTTCACACAGAAATGATTCCAGTCCTGTGGTAATTACATCTTGAAATCGATAGCAGAATTATATGCTAAAATAAGTTATTAATTTATTTGTAACGCTAGCAGCGAAAGGTCCCCCTTACTAGGTGTGGTAGCTAGAATAATAAAGCAGTTGCTTTCTCAGACTCATTCTAAATGGTATCTATTGATAGTGATATTTTATCACTGTATTTGTTTTTACCTGGGAAAATCTAGATTTACAGAAATAAATGAAGTGAAACTTAACAGTTTCAGTTCAGTTTCATGTTCTGGTCAGGAAACTGAATCCTAAGACAGCATACTACAAAGCTAATTGGAATACGTCCTGCAAAACCCCATAGAGCGTAATAGAGAACCAGGAATTCATCTCACCTGGGCGGAAGAGCTATAGTGCTGGTGCTCAGTACTTGCTTCCAAGAATAAACAAATTGAAAATAAAGGTCGAAAAACAAATATCTAAGTGCATAATGGTCCATTCCTCTCATACAGAGACTCCACTCTGTGATTATGCAGGATTTTTTTTTCCAGGTGGCACTGTCATGAAAACCTTTGCACCTATATACAGGGAATTGCTGTTTCTTAGATGGAAGATAATAATTAGTTATTTATTCCAGGTGATATGCCAGTTGGATGGAGGTACTCAAATACTCTGTATAAACAGTTCTGGCACAAGAGAGCTAAAAACAGTGCATTTAATTCCCCAGTATCAAGACCAACATAATTATCCTCAATCAGGTACAATGAAAATGCAAATTATCTCCAGCATGTCAAATAGTATATCATAGATTGTTAATGTGCAATTGCATGTGTTTATGTTCCTAAGCAACGTCATCTGAGTTGAGCCAAAGTTAATGGAGCCATCACCATTTATTATTTTACTTTATCTTACAGTACCCACAAAAGTGCTCTGCACTTAAATGAAATAACGAGAATGATGTAATAAATAAGTTGAACTTAATGTTAATAAATGTTAAAGTTGTTAATATACAGAGTCATTTCTATATGAAACATGTTTACCATAATCAGCTGACACATCTGCATTTACCCCAAATTGCCACCATATGTCACTGTTTCTCTATCAATAAAGAGTAACTTTGAGGGCTATACTTGTATTTTAGCCTTGGGTTTCACAACCTGCAGAGTATGTGTCATTGATTTTTACATCACTATGTAAACTTGATTTCCATTGTTTTTTAAATAAAGTGTTTTCTGTTTTACCTGTTTAGATGCTTAGTAGAGTAATACATTTTCATCTGATCAACACTACAATTTATAAGTGTAGGTTAAGTTTAACTTAAGTATTTCTTTTCCTAAATATAGCTTCCTCAGAAACGGTATAGTATTGTTTATTATTTGTTTTATTACTTATAAAACACAAAAGCACTTAATGGTGCATATGAGTGGCAATATGAAAACAAGGCACTTTTAATATTAAGCATCATACAAGCATTGACTGCATCTTTGAATAGACACTCCAAATGTAGATTATGTTTATTATGAAATAAGTACAGTTCTAAGAATTATCCTGTTATTTCATTAAGCCTGATCTTTGCTTGTTTTCTGCACAGGCTGGGATGCTTATATAATTAAAAGCACAGTTTCACCAGGACTTATGCAAAGACTTACTCTTATGGCTGTGGTTTTCTCCATGGGTTTTTAGTATTTTTTTTTCTCATAAGCTCAGTAGCTCAACACTAGATGCTCTCTCAGGACTTTGGAAAGTCATCTCAGGATAAACATATTCACATGTTTCTGCCATTTTCTTATTTCATCAAAATAATTTAGGACTACGGCTTTTGAATTCAGATGTACTTGATGTCACGAAGTTAAAAAAAAAAAAAAAAAAAAAAAAAAATCCTGTGCTTACATTCCTAACTGACACATTGTTGGCGTTCTTTTTCTGACTATTGTTTGTGTGTGCTGAGGTTTTATGAGGAAGAATATTGTTTGAAACAAAAAATCTAGGCCCTCACCTGACAGTGTTTATTGTAGGAAGAATGTAAGTTTGTTTTCTGAACTGAATTGTAGCAAAAAGTGCTACAAGAAGACAGATAGCATCAGGATTTTTTTTTACTAAAACAAATTAAAACTTCCCGTTGGTGTCTATGCTTTGTTCAAACACCATCATGTGTAGAAGAAACTTCATATGTGGTGAGTAGTTCTATTTTCTTTAAATAAGTGTCTTTTCAGATGTGGGTAATCCTGTAGCAGCTGTACTTGGTCAGCTTTTACCAGTTCCAGATAAACTTGATTTGAATGAAAATCAGGTAAAGAAACCTTTTTCTTCAGATTTATTAAGCACAATATAAACTCATTTTTCTTTCCTTAAATTGGTTGTAAATCTATATAGGGAAGTGACAGTTACATGTAGTCTCTGAAGAATGCTTGGTTAACATATACACTTTCAGTGCTGCATCCAATATACTGCTTAAATATAATGGCTTCTAATTGATTTCAACATTTTCTAGAAATAATACCAAGAATTAAAATCACAGATTTTCATGAGAAATAAATTTGTTACAAATTGAGACTTGAATTCAGTATTTGTATAGGCTGTTATTTCTGGAAACCATGCTAAGACTTTTCTGGATGGTAAAGGAAAGCACATTGACTTTTAACAGAAGAGGAGGAATATTTTCTTCCAGTAGGATTTCTGGCTCTGTTCTCTTTTGATTAAGATTTAATGGTAATCTTTTTTACTTTTTTTTTCAGTTATTTTATTGCTGATGGAGTAAGCAGTAGATCAGTATTACAATTTATTTTAGATAACAAAAGGTGAACACAAAGCTAATAAATTTTGGAACTGTTTGATTTCTAGTGAAATCACTGATTCCAGCAGAGTTTCTACAATGTTTCTGCTTGCAACAGAGGTCTTAGCAATAGTCACCAATGCAATAATCACCAATTTGCACCAGCAATGCAAAATTTTCCCTGATATCTTTTGATTTGTGTGAAATGAATATGTGATATCAGTACAGGCACAGAGGATGATTCGTGGATAGTGGCCACTTTTTTATCCTCATTCTGTTCTTCTGTAGATTCCCTCATCATGCTTTAAATATACTTATTTTCCTCTTCTTGACTATCAGCTAGATTCGTCAATGATTCAAATTGTGTGATTTGCAGTGATTCCCTGCCTGATTTATCTGTAAATCCAACATAACCTTTCTTACTTTGTCTCTCCACAATAAGGCCCTTATTAATCATATGTCTGTCAAAGAGAGCAGCAGATCTGCAGTCTGTTCTGTTGGCTTGTGAGATGATTCTCTTAAGTTTTGCTTTGTCTTCAAGCTATTACATGCCTTATTTCATCCATATTTAATATAAATAATCAGTTCACTAGCCAATTTGAGATGGCTGGAATCAAAAGTAACTGAACCTAGAATTATGAGTAAATTGAAAATAGTGTGCCACCACTGTGCAGTATTGGAAACTGTTCTTGGTTCTTTGCCCTGGGGGATGCAGGGGTCCCAACATACTTTAGATTTCAAAGAGAATGAGAACAGTTCTCATGACTTTTTGCCTTCATGAGTTTTCTGGGTATTCTTGGTAATCAAATAATTCCTGGAGCATTTTCACTGTATTAAATTTTTTCTGCTAATTTCTGGGAGCCTCTTTAAAAATGTAAGAAGGTTTTATGCATTTTATCTTGAGCAGTTTGAAAATGGATCCTTACAATCAGTAGCTAGTACTGCCACATACCATTCAGAATCAAATCTCCAAGGACCAGGGAAAATAACTTCGGTCAGGTAAGAAGTGTGAAACACTTAGTCCATGATTACTTTTGAATTTAAAGCTGGCAATGACTTCTAGACATTTTAATGTTCCAAAGCTTTCCCCTTCTAATAAAAATGCAATTCCGTAAAAATGCTTTGTGTATCTATATGAGTAGTCATGATGCCAGTTGCTGGCAGTCAAGACTGTCACCTGCTTCAGAGTTTCTTAGGATCAATGTAG